TGTAAGGCTACTGTGAGTATTTAATAAGATAAATCATGTAAGATGCTTAGCACTATGACACCAGAACACAGGAAATGCTGAGAAAGAATATAGTTCAAATGCTACAGTTATGATTATGATTATAATTAATAAGCCTGGCCATCAGAGTGTATTCTCTTACTAGTATCAATAATTTTTAATGAAGGATAATTGCTTTGAACCATTCAAAGATATCACTTAGAATCAATTATTAGTTTATTTAGCTGTCTTTGGGAAGGAATAGACCTTAATTAGATTACCAAGAATATATGGCTAGCTCGTTTCAGGAATGTCTAACTAAATATATCTTAAATTTCTCTTAAATATCTACTTCTTTCCATCCCCACTGTCACCATCCTAGTCTAGACCATCATTTTCTCTCACCTGTAACAGCCTCCCAAATGGCCTCCCTGCCTCCAGCCTTGTTTTCTAATTCATTCCCCATACTGCAGCAGGTAGGAGCTTTCTAAAATTAATCTGATTATATTACCCTTTTGAGATAAAACCCAAAATGTTGTACAAGGCTTTCCTGGACCTTCATTATTTGATTATATCTCTAAACTCACAATTTATTATGCTTCCTCCTTCTAAACTATAATTCCAAGCCACGATGAACTTTTTAGTTTGGGGTGTATGTCACACTCTTGCTCATCTCTGGCCCTTTGCTTCAGCTGTTCAGCTTGCCTGCATCTCTAGGTTTCAGCACTGTGTCTGGAGAGTTTTTAGTGCCCAATAAATATTTGTTGAATGAATGAATGGATGAATGGGATAAAGAAATAGGGAGTGAAATCTGGTATCTGATATGTAGCTGAAGCCATATCTCATTACTGCTACTCATAGAAAATAGCAACCATTTATATCTTAAGTCCATTAATCTGAAAGTGTTTCAATTTAGAAACACTTCGTACCATAAACATTAAATTGTTTCTGAAAATCAAAAAAATTAATTACTTTGGCATTTCTAAGCCTAGTGCCTTTAAAAAAAAACATATACAAACCAGCATTTGTGACACAGATAGCTAAAGGTAGGATGAAATCTCTACCTCCATCTTACAT